ATTCATATGCAAATTTGCAAATACACTTTTTAATTGTATAAATCTGTTGTGCACCGATTAGGTTTGTCGGACTTGAAATGCAATCATAAACTGAAGCTGGAAATAACATCACAAATTACATAGATCATTTAGTAATGATGTTAAAGCATCTTAAAATAAAAAATTTATTAATTTACAAAATTTCAGTTTTTTTTTTGTATGAGTACTTTAAGGAATCTAGACTATTTATGAAGTATTTTTATCAAGATTATGTATTTACAAAATGTTATCGCGATTCATTAATTAGTTGTTTTGTAAATAAATGAAGTTTATTTTGTTTATTAACAAAACGTTTATTACATTTATTAACAGAAGGTTCACTTTATGTATTAAATTTTATTTACAGAGCAACAAATTAGTAAATCGCAATAAAACTTTATAAATACATAATCTTGATAAATACTTCATAAATAACTTCATAAATATTGATTATTTAAAGTATTTATACAAAAAAACTGAAATTTTTGTGTAAGTTAATAAGTTTTTTATTTTAAGATGCTTGTTAGCATCTTAAATGATTTATGTAACATTATTTCTAGCTTCAATTTAGGATTGCATTTCAAGTCCGACAAACCGAATAGGTGTGCAGTAGATTTATAGAATTAAAAAATGTATTTGCAAATACGCATGCTATGTGAATATCATTAAACACTAAGATCCGCTTTAACTGAAAATAACGTTCTTTCTATTACTTGAATTTTTTTCATTTTAAAAGTTGAAGTATTATAACAATAAGAATATAATAATAAATGCAGTAAATAAACTATAAAATGTGTTGTGTTAAATAAATATATATATGAGGTTATTCACACAACTGTTTCATAAGTATAATTTTAATATTCACATTTATATGAATAGTATAAATATTAATACATTTTCAATTTTAGATTTTTGCAGCGACTGTACTGCTAATATCCTTAATAAAAATCCTGTAAATCGAAAGATTTTATCATAGAGAAATAATTTAATAGAGAAATATGTCTCTCTCTCTCTCTCTCTCTATCTCTCTTTCTAATTACTATAATATTATCTTTATGCTTTTTTATCGTGTGTCGTGTTTCGTAATAACATTACGCACAAAGCAATTTGCTCAGCTATCTGTCGATTTGAGTATCGGAATAGAATATATCGTATTGTTCTCTTTGTAAACATGCTGCAGTGTACGAAATTCGTTCGAATTTCGGTTGCAAATGGTAACGCAGCGACTTTATGTACAAAACTGTGCATGCTGTAAAAAACAAAGCCAAAGTTGCTATTACTTTGAAATATTTAATACCTTATAGAATTTAAATTTTTATCCATGAACTAATTTTCGTCGTCTCCAAGTATTTAATATTTTCGAAGTAATTCACGTCTCGTATTGAGATACGCGCGTGTAATATATCTTATAAAATATTTAAAATAAATTCCTGCGTTTTGAATGAATTTCTATAAATATTCCATCAATGTACATTGAATCTATTTGAATTAAAGAGTAAAATCTATCTTATTTGTTATACTGGAAAAGATACGTAAATTAGATTATTATTGTTATTTTATGTCAAAACATTTCATATCTCCAAGGCAATAAAATTACTTGTAATATATCCAGAAATATTTTTATATAAGTTTAATGAATCATGAAAATTTATTGTTTATGCATATCTTTTTTTTATGTATCAATTTATTATATAATTATTTTAAATACGATTTTGCGCACCGTGAAACATAATATGGTTTCCAATAGAAATATATTTTATAAAAAAAGACATGTATACCTAGAGTAAATTTAATTTGTACATATACTCATTATACAACGTATACATATTACATTTATTAGTCGTGACTTTACATAATTTTTTATTTTGTTTGGTGTTTCCAATGTTAATTGTGCACAATGCGTAATTCCGCCAAAGTATGTAAAACATTATTAATAATCGCTCATAAAAATAAATTATCCAATGATTTTTTTGTTATTCCACGCTTTCTAGAAACAGTACTGGATGAATTACATTTATACTGGCGAAACGTTTAAATTGCATTGTGAAATGTATTTGAATTTAAGCATCGTTAAAGAAATAATTATTTATAAATGCTGCTTTGTTAAAATAATTAAAAAAATTTTTATTTCCGATTACTTCGATTTTTATTTTAAAAGAATAAATATCGCAAAATATCTGCTTTGACACATCCAGAGAATTACTTAAATTATATATATATATTATATATATATAGTGGTAAATTAATAGTAAGAATTAGATAATTGAATACAATCGTAAAAAATTACTTCGTGGAGTAAACGATGAAAAAATCATTTTGTTTCAATGGCGGCATGTATATATGATTGCTCGTGTTGACGTTGCCAACGTTCCATATATTTGTAAAAACAAATACCAAGACTAGTTGTGTCGAAAAATGTTTATTTTATTACAAAATAAATTTGAGCAAATATTCTATTTTTTGCGTTTTAAGTCAATTCTGGACTATCATATCGTATTAAATCTATTCCGTTTATTTCAAGAATAATATAAATCTATACCGTTTATTTAAAGAATAATATATATATGTGATAAAAAAGATATATAATATATAAATTTTTAATTTATCATTATTACCTTAAAGCCAGATTTTTCCAAAAGAAAAATTATGTGATTTTTATAAATTGTGAAAATGAAATACAAATATCGATTAATTACAGTCATACTAATCATCAGAATATGTCGATGCGTGAGGCTTTACAAAAAACTCTCTATGTTAATTAAATTTCTTATTACATTGTTTTATTATTAATATTATTAGAAAAATGTTTTGTAAATTTATCTTTTTAAAACAAGTAAAAGAACGCGAATATTTGATTATTATCTAATAATATTTTTTTTAGCAATTAATTTCGTATAACAAATCAAACTAACCAAGACTTCTTATAAATCAAAAGAATTAAAAAAGAACATGGGCAATAGGAGTCAAGCGCGGAAGACGTTGCGCAAATAATACGACTATAAAGCGTAAAATTTGTTTATTTTACTAAACGCGCTTACATGTTTCGGCTCATTTTTGAGCCTTCTTCAGAGACAACATAAACTCACATATATAAAATATAACAAATATTAACTTGTCATGGTGAGCTCCCCTGTATCGAGAATATAAATGCCAGAATTAAACCCAGATAAGAATGAAATAAAGAAAAAAGAAAAGAAATTTTGGAAATCTCGAAATAGAGAAAATGAAAAACTAATGTATCAGAAAATTTTGAAATTATAATTGATTATCCCGAAAGTTAGGAAGCTCATCATGGTCACAAGGCACCATATCGCAAACAATACTATTAGTAATTCAAAAACCGGTTTCTGATATGTTGGCCAGTCAGTATCAGACCCAGTGAGTCACTTTTAGATTTAGTTGGTCTTTATTGAGATAGCAATTAGAAAACTAACGTTAAAAAGTTAATCAAATTCAAGAAAAAGAATTTTGAAAATATTATAATTTAATTTACGCAACGTCTTCCGCGTTTGACTCCTATTGCCCATGTTCTTTCTTAGTTCTTTTTAGCAATTAAGATATTTTACCTTTGTTTGTTGTAACAAAGTCAAGTTTGATCTTAGTTTTCTTTACTTTTAATTTAATTAAAATTAATATTTTTTTATACATACATATGTTACATAATACGGATCTTTTATCATACTTTAAAAAATTCCTCCATATGAAAAAATATATAACATCGATTTATTTATATTAAAATATACATTCATAAATACATATTCATAAGTGTAAAACATACAATACTTACAGGTGTTTTATTGGATATTGAAGCATAGCAATGTAAAAAAATTTAATTTTATACTTCAAGTACTTCAATAAACTTGTATATGCAGTTGGACGCAATTGTTTAAAATCACAACTTTTATAAGAGAAACATATTAAATATTGTAAAATTATCTATAAACTATTCTTTACGCCTTAATATACTTTACTTAAAAGCATTTTCTATTTTATTGAAATATTTATCAATACAATATTTTTCGTATGTTTCTTGGCGGACAGTTGTACATAACCCAACTTTTTACTCCCATCTTGAAACGTTTATTAATTTCTTTTCTGCCTTGGCATGGCAAAAGAAATTAGTGCCAAAAACATCTTGTGAGTTTATCTTCTTGACTAAGTTTATCGAAGTTGTGAGAACTTTTTTGTGCATAAAGCTTCTATCTAATTTAATGAATGGGGGAGCGATACAATCGGTTTTAAAATGCGGACATATATTTGCGTCAGATAATAGCAGTTAACGGCATAACTTACTGTGATTTACGGGCAATACGGTCGTATTTTTATGGTACACTGTTCCATTAGCTTCGATGTGCATGATTTATGCAAAGTGTTCTTGGCACTCTCTCTCCCTCTCTTTCTTTCTCTCTCTTTCTTTCGTGAAAGGTACAAGACTACTCTTATACGTCCACTCACGAAAGTCTACCGCGTATAAATATGCCTTGTCTGCACCCTTGTATATCGCGTGTAAAGTTCAAAAGTGAATAGCGACTTTCCAAGTTCTGGGGGTAATAGTTTTCGGAGGTCACTAGCAACTGACCAGAGAAAGATGTCAGTAGAAATTCTATTTTCTATTTTACAAAGATAATTGTTAATAAAGAAGAGGAGAAAATGATGTGTTTTTTATTATTTTGTTAACCTCTTTAATTAACTCTCGTAGTGAAGAATTTTTATAGCTGTTTTGTAGCTGTAGTTAGCTATAAAAACTATTCTTAAGTTCTAAAACATCCTGTTTGAAGTATGTAATTTTCGTCTTACGGTGATGATAGAGGAAAAGGTTCAAAGATTTTTATATTTACAATTTAGAACCTTATAGTATTAATCGTACAACTATCTGAAATTTTCCCTTTGGATCCAAATGACCCGTTGCTGTCATCCAGGGTTAAAAGCTTTGCGGAAAATTCTGATGGACTGCATTAAGCGCTACTTTTTTTTCATTACAGGTGTCTTGGGTGCGTAGACGAGGAGACGAGCTTCATTTACTCACCATTGGCCTCGATACATACGCGAGTGACTCCAGATTCTCCTTGGCCTTGGAGAAACCCAATGACTGGCGATTGCTTCTACGCTCCGCTACGGAACGCGATGCCGGTCTTTACGAATGTCAAGTCAGCGCCCACCCACCATTAATCAGAACTGTCCATCTAGCGGTGTCAGGTAAGTGAGCGCGTCATTGCGTGTGTGTTCATCTAACCGTCCGGGACTTGGCAACCTCGAAGCAATCAAGAGCTGCTATTTCCTACTGCTACTAACGATATGTACTTTGATCTGATGACCGCATTGCGACCCGTAAATCATCGTGTTTGTACAGAGTATCTCAAAATCATTCCCATTACCGAAATGCTGATATTAACAGCATAATAAGAAAAAAAATGTATATCAGATTTCTCGGCAACTGGAAGGTTATTTAAATTCAAATATTAAACAGTTTTTGTCAAAAGGAATTCCAGATCACTTAAAGAATTCCGTAATTAAAATATGTGGAATCTCTGAGGCATCCCTGATCATCATACAAAGCTTTCTGTTATCGGTGTAATTGTTATGAGACGCTTGTTTCGGGATGTTTGTAACTCACAACATTTGTAACTATTTGCATAAAGTGAAGACTAATTATGCTAATGGTAAAGATGAAAGGCCATGATGCATTATTGTCTTAATCTACTTTTATAAAGTACTACAACTATAGAAAGTCGTTCTCTGGATATATAATCCATGTGTCCCGTGGCGCGTTTTCACTGGACCATAAATCACGGTAGCCACGTCGTTAGGGTCGTCCTCTTCGTGGCATAATGGCGATCTCGATGTTGTAACGATGTTCTCGTGGCACCCACGTCCCATGCCACTTAATTGGACTCCCGTCCTTTACTCGTGTCCTCCCTTTCCGTTCTACCCTTCCTTTTTTTCTTTTTCTATTCGCGCGTATCTGTATTTTTCTTTTATTATTGACAATGTAGCTACGCCGGTATTTGATATACGAGTTGCACGATTGTACGTGGATACCTGTATCGAATAAAATACAGAAATGTGTTAAACTATACACTCCGGTAGCGATAACATCGTCTTCCTTTAGTTGCGACTAGTAAAGATATTTAACTTCAATAACGAAGTATAACTTGTTCTAATAGCACAGTAAGCTCATTATCATCTATCATCTATGCATAATGGACTTGCACCGGATAATTCGTAACTGACTCAGCCGACTATCAATGATTGATTGATAGCGAGCAATATCGCAGTTGTCAGCTATATTTGATTAATAACGGACGTAAGACTAATAGACACTTTGAAGATCAAATTCGGGCTTTCACCTACAACGTCCGATGATATCTCTATAGCATGACGGTTTTAGCTACCAAGTACATGTAGCTAAGCGAATAGTTCGGCCGAGATTAATGAGACTGGCGCGCGTTGAAAAGAGAACTTGGAACACTTGAGGTTTCAAAATTTATATATTCGAATAAGAGCGATTATACATATATACATATACACACACATATATACATATGCGCGTAGAATTTGTAAATTAATTATAAATGGTGCCACGAGCACGAGTGACGTGTGTCGCGAAATAACGATGACGAGCGCTGCAATATTGTTACCAGAATATCTTTCAAAAGTACTATTCTTTATTTCAGCAGATAGTTAAGTCTTTATTGATCGATACAGAAAACTTCTTTTTTACTTTTTTCTCAAAAGTTGTGAAAGTCAGTTATAATTAAATTTACTTGTACGACTGTGGATATAGTTAACTCTCTGACATGTGCAAAGAGGGAGATACATTTCAAATTGGATGCAAGATGTATCTCTTAAAGTTTCATATACTTTACTGTAGTTGTATTTATCAAGTATATGTATGTACTGGTATAAAATCTCGATTTGACAAATGCGCGTGCTTGTTAGACTGCATTACGCGAAAGAAACATAGTGATAAGAACGCCAGAAGTACGTGGTAAAAGATGCAGTGATAGGAGAAGACGAGGACAGAAAAGAGATAGAAAGCATCGCGAGAGATGAAATCAATATAGGTATGCAGATATCGAAATATTTTTCAGTCACCGTAGCTGCAATAGGAGGGTTATGAAATATCTGACCGAAATACCAGGTACAGGAGTGAAATAAATTCCATGCTCTGTGAAATAAACGGAATATTTCGCGGACCCAACTGGTGGAACGAACGATTGCGGTATATTATTCTCCTACACATCGTTCGGCTTTCGTTTTAAGTTATAAAGTCTGTTCAAGCGTATCATTTTTCCATAATCTTCGGTCGAATATCGATACAGCAAGTTAAGATCTTTCTTGTACGTTAAGAATCTCTCGAGTAGTAGGAACGATGGAACAGCTTGACCGAGGTATATATTATGATTTCCTTTGCCGATATGATTCTTTAATACGAATCTTTTTATGTACGACAGCATATCGTTGCGTTGATAGAAAAGTGACACTTCAAAATTAGCAACTTTTAAGTGGAAACCTTTGTAAGTTCTTAATTGAAACAATGTTTTAATTATGATAATGAATATACAATTTTTATAACTTCACTTTCTTTTCATATGTTATATTTTTCATTATAATGTATATTTTTTAAAACTACAGATTTCTATAGACAAGAAGACTTCTCGACACCATTTTTATCTCTTTTCTATCACATGCAAAATAATATAAGTGAGCAGTCTAGTTATAGAAGTCTGTGTTTAAAATTATACTATGAGTATTTAAAATTCAAACATTGCAGCTATAATAAAATGTAAATTTAATTTCTTATCAGAGTTGTGACATTTTTCCATTTAAATGAGCTATATGTCATAAATGAGTTGCGTTTTTCCACAAAAATATGTTATATAAATTAAGGTCAATTTCCTTACATTATCTTAAAAATGTTAATTTTTTATTTATGTCACTTTTTTTAACACAGCGAGAATCCTTGTACCTTTATTCAATAATTCACACGTTATAAAATAAAACTTTGTGACGTTTAAATTTTACACAGCATCGTGATTTCTTGGAATATTACTTCGTTCTTGGACAAACAAAAAATCCGTGAGTAATGATTTCTTTTGAGAACGTGCCGATGTGTTCGTTAACGTCGAGAATTTCCGACTCTTTCTTTTTTTTCGATCTTCTCTTGGGCATTTCTACATCTGGTAGTTTACTCACCGTTCTGCCCTTATCGCGCGCAAGAATTTCTATAATGACCTGTAAAAGTTGCGACGGGCGTCATTTATTATCGCGACTTTACTTTTCTTTCATTCTCTTATCCTTCCATTAATCAAAAAGCTATCATTGTCTCCTGATGAGCTATTTATGTTATCATGCGCAAGCCAAGGCAACATTGTTCATTATTGTAGGCTATAAACCGTTCAACATCGGCGAGTGGACTCGCTTACATAGAAATAAAATTGCGTTACAGAACTTAAGAAATAATTTCTGGTCGGCGGGCACTATTCGGAAGCTTTATTTCTGGCAAACGTTCAAATAGTTAGGAACTTAAATTCCGCTAGCGACAGCGGCTTTTCCGAGGGCGTAAACTACTTGTGCCAGCGCCCAGTCTCTCGTTTCACTACCGATCTACATTGAACTCTGGCGTTGTGAATTTTACGAGCCTGGAGCCACATTCTAATCGGATTTCCATAATGGCCTATCGATTGATGTCGGCCCAGTACAAAAAGAGCGTGAAATTAATACAAGAAAGAGAGAGAAAGCGCTTCTTCGTCATTTCGAATAGTTAATGTATAAAGTCGCTGTAAAATGAAACGGTAAAAATTTCAAAAAGAACTTTACCCATTTTATTTATATAGATTGAGATCATCCCTGTACAAAGATCAATCGTACGTCAAAGCATACAAAGTAGATTAAATCTACAAGTGCCAAAGCTAAAATAGCTGTAAATCAATGTTAGAACCTTATCATTGTGGTGAGGTATACTACTCTCTAAAATTATGATTATGATTTTCTGCAGATTTCTGTAGAAATCATAACTTCTAAAAATGAATCAGTATATTATTATTGAAAAACAGTAAATATTCACTAATAATTACAGTTATAAGTGTAGCATTAGGATCAGTAATAATGCACTGATTCACTTTTAGAGAGTAATTTTACTATATTTCTGCTTGCAGGATGCTTTTAATCGACTGATAATCTTTTATTATGTAGTTAAAAATGCTTTTAAATCTTTTTTCATTAATTCTCTCCTGCGTCCAAAAAGATTTATTTTCTATATCTAGAGTATCTCCTTACAGTGACGGTATATATAAGAATGATGTTCACACTGTAAATTGTTGTGCCCATATGTCATTCATTTATCTAATGGGTATGCCAAATGTCTTATTAAAGACGCATTGAAAAAATGATTTTGCTGAAGCTCATATCTAAAAATTTAGGTAGGGGTACAGATTTGAAAATAATTTTGTTGGACCATCAAAATAAGTAAGCAAGATTCTCAAACTGGTTGCTAGAATATAAAAATTCTTTAAATATTTCTCTAAATACAAATATTTATAATTCTCTAAATATTTTTTAGGAATTCTAAAAATTTTCTGAAAATTCTCTAAATATCTTTCGCAGCATAGCCATCAACATTTAAGCATTCTATTTAATTAGTTTAATAATCCAGCAAAATTATTTTCAAAATTGTATTTAGCTAAATTTTTTTCTTTTCGTGTAAGTATAGGATTCCTTCCTTAGGGATTAAGATTCTTTCCTTCTAAGGAAAATGTTAGCGACACATTTCTAAGCTTCGACAGTTCCGAACATCTTAAAAAGATTATATAGCTACTTTCGGTAGATTTAAAGATTTAAAACTATTTAATTTTTAATATTTCTGTTATTATGTAAAAGTAACTTGAACGCGACTCAAAATGGGCGACGTTTTTCTCGCATCTTTTAATGCTGTTATCAAATCGATCGCCTGTCAGCGAAAAAGCTGCGCTGCACGTGCACCGTTCTACGAACGTGGCATTCATTCCATATTCACTTAATATCTAAGAAAAGATATGCCGATCCTGATGTGGCTTAGGAATGGTGAAATTTTCGCATAGATACGATATGTATTGCACGCGACTGTCAGGAAGAATATTCAAGCGATTAGATCGGGACGAGGTCGATCGAGGAAATGTCCGAAGGTTGTACGTGCCATGCAGGATTTTGGGGATTGG